TTTCTCTGTCTACAATGTCATCAGGATGTTGGATATCCACTAGAGTGAGTCCTGCCTCAACCAGGATGTTGGATAGCCACTGGAGAGAGAGTCCTGCCAGAATCAGGATATTTAATGTCCACTGGAGAGAGTCCTGACAGAATCAGGCTGTTGGATATCCACTGGGGAAAGTCCTGGTTGAATCAGGATATTCCATATCCACTGGAGAGAGTCCTGCCTGAATCAGGAAGTTGAACGTCCGCTGGAGAGAGTCCTGCCTGAAACAGGATGTTGGATGTCCACTGGAGAGAGTCCTGCCTGAATTAGGATGTTAGATATCCACTAGAGGGAGACTCAATTATTCTTTTGGATATCCTTGATCCTGACGACAATGAAAGCATATCTGAGAGCTGTTGATATCCTGCACTCTGAATATTGTAGAAGGCATCGCATCTATGGATATCTGCTTTCCTTTGATATAATTCTGGTATGTTGTGCCTCAGTGGGACTCCTATTTACTTGTTACAGCCGCCGGATTCCTCCGCGGGTATTCTACATCCTGATTATATTGTAGGATGTCCATCATCCTGAGATATCCAATATGATTAAAATAATGAGGGCAAATTCCTCATAGTGGACATCTAGCATCATGATCCAGGCAGGAATCTCTCTAGTGGACATCAACATCCTCAGGCAGTGGACATTAAATATCATGATTCTGGCAGGACTCTCTCCAGTGGAGATTCAACATCCTGATTGAGGCAGAACTCTCTCCAGTTGATATCCAACATCCATATTCAACCAGGACTCTCTCTCCAGTGGATATCCAACATCCTGATTCAGGCAGGACTCTCTACAGTGGACATCCAACATCCTGATTCAGGCCAGGACTCTCTCCAGTGGATATCCAACATCCAGATTCAGGCAGGACTCTCTCCAGTGGATATCCAACATCCTGATTCTGTCAGGACAGGACAGGACTCACTCTAGTGGATATCCAACATCCTGATGACATTGTAGACAGAGAAATTTTCTACACAGTGATTGTAGGCTGTTATAGGCTTGAAGATATAAAAAAGTATCTACATAAATGACGAAGAAAGAAATTCATAATTTTTTAATATCCATTTATTATTAGGCTCATTATAATTATTATTACTTGCTCATCAACTCATTTTGCTTAATAATATGTTGAGAAAACATGATGATATGTTTGATATTTGAATTGGCTGTATCTCGGTAAATATATGTGTAAAAGGCTTAATTTTGCAAATTAGCAAAGAAAGAGTTAACAGAAAGAAACGTCCAGAGGTGCGGTAATTCTAATGGTAGCATTTTGAAAACGATTCTATGGCTGGTTTTGATTTTGAGTTTTGCGAAAAATGACGATTTCGCCGAGGTGGCGATTTTTCCGTGGCAGCTCCGCTTTGCGCCATCTTTTGACAATTATTTACTGATTTAACTGACCGCTGAGCTGTGTGGCCGTCAAGATGGCGCAAAGCGGAGCTGCCACGGAAAAATCGCCACCTCGGCGAAATCGTCATTTTTCTCAAAACTCAAAATCAAAACCAGCCATAGAATCGTTTTCAAAATGCTACCATTAGAATTACCGCATCTCTGGACGTTTCTTTCTGTTAACTCTTTCTTTGCTAATTTGCAAAATTAAGCCTTTTACACATATATTTACCGAGATACAGCCAATTCAAATATCAAACATATCATCATGTTTTCTCAACATATTATTAAGAAAAATGAGTTGATGAGCAAGTAATAATAATTATAATGAGCCTAATAATAAATGGATATTAAAAAATTATGAATTTATTTCTTCGTCATTTATGTAGACACTTTTTTCATATCTTCAAGCCTATAACAGCCTACAATCACTGTGTAGAAAATTTCTCTGTCTACAATGTCATCAGGATGTTGGATATCCACTAGAGTAAGTCCTGCCTGAATCAGGATGTTGGATATCCACTGGAGAGTCCTGCCTGAATCAGGATTTTCAATATCCACTGAAGAAAGTCCTGACAGAATCAGGCTGTTGGATATCCACTGGGGAAAGTCCTGGTTGAATCAGGATATTCCATATCCACTGGAGAGAGTCCTGCCTGAATCAGGAAGTTGGACGTCCACTGGAGAGAGTCCTGCCTGAAACAGGATGTTGGATGTCCACTGGAGAGAGTCCTGCCTGAATTAGGATGTTAGATATCCACTAGAGGGAGACTCAATTATTCTTTTGGATATCCTTGATCCTGACGACAATGAAAGCATATCTGAGAGCTGTTGATATCCTGCACTCTGAATATTGTAGAAGGCATCGCATCTATGGATATCTGCTTTCCTTTGATATAATTCTGGTATGTTGTGCCTCAGTGGGACTCCTATTTACTTGTTACAGCCGCCGGATTCCTCCGCGGGTATTCTACATCCTGATTATATTGTAGGATGTCCATCATCCTGAGATATCCAATATGATTAAAATAATGAGGGCAAATTCCTCATAGTGGACATCTAGCATCATGATCCAGGCAGGCTCTCTAGGACTCATCCTTATTCAGGCAGGACTCTCCAGTGGACATTAAACATCCTGATTCTGGCAGGACTCTCTCCAGTGGAGATTCAACATCCTGATTGAGGCAGAACTCTCTCCAGTTGATATCCAACATCCATATTCAACCAGGACTCTCTCTCCAGTGGATATCCAACATCCTGATTCTGGCAGGACTCTCTACAGTGGATATCCAACATCCTGTTCAGGCCAGATTCAGGCACTCTCTCCAGTGGACATCCAACATCCTGATTCAGGCAGGACTCTCTCCAGTGGATATCCAACATCCTGATTCAGTTTACAGGACTCACTCTAGTGGATATCCAACATCCTGATGACATTGTAGACAGAAATTTTCTACACAGTGATTGTAGGCTGTTATAGGCTTGAAGATATAAAAAAAGTATCTACATAAATGACGAAGAAAGAAATTCATAATTTTTTAATATCCATTTATTATTAGGCTCATTATAATTATTATTACTTGCTCATCAACTCATTTTGCTTAATAATATGTTGAGAAAACATGATGATATGTTTGATATTTGAACTGGCTGTATCTCGGTAAATATATGTGTAAAAGGCTTAATTTTGCAAATTAGCAAAGAAAGAGTTAACAGAAAGAAACGTCCAGAGGTGCGGTAATTCTAATGGTAGCATTTTGAAAACGATTCTATGGCTGGTTTTGATTTTGAGTTTTGCGAAAAATGACGATTTCGCCGAGGTGGCGATTTTTCCGTGGCAGCTCCGCTTTGCGCCATCTTTTGACAATTATTTACTGATTTAACTGACCGCTGAGCTGTGTGGCCGTCAAGATGGCGCAAAGCGGAGCTGCCACGGAAAAATCGCCACCTCGGCGAAATCGTCATTTTTCGCAAAACTCAAAATCAAAACCAGCCATAGAATCGTTTTCAAAATGCTACCATTAGAATTACCGCACCTCTGGACGTTTCTTTCTGTTAACTCTTTCTTTGCTAATTTGCAAAATTAAGCCTTTTACACATATATTTACCGAGATACAGCCAATTCAAATATCAAACATATCATCATGTTTTATCAACATATTATTAAGAAAAATGAGTTGATGAGCAAGTAATAATAATTATAATGAGCCTAATAATAAATGGATATTAAAAAATTATGAATTTCTTTCTTCGTCATTTATGTAGATACTTTTTTTTATATCTTCAAGCCTATAACAGCCTACAATCACTGTGTAGAAAATTTCTCTGTCTACAATGTCATCAGGATGTTGGATATCCACTAGAGTAAGTCCTGCCTGAACCAGGATGTTGGATATCCACTGGAGAGTCCTGCCTGAATCAGGATTTTCAATATCCACTGAAGAAAGTCCTGACAGAATCAGGATATTGGGGAAAGTCCTGGTTGATATCCACCACTGGAGAGAGTCCTGCCTGAATCAGGATGTTGGACGTCCACTGGAGAGAGTCCTGCCTGAAACAGGATGTTGGATGTCCACTGGAGAGAGTCCTGCCTGAATTAGGATGTTATATATCCACTAGAGGGAGACTCAATTATTCTTTTGGATATCCTTGATCCTGACGACAATGAAAGCATATCTGAGAGCTGTTGATATCCTGCACTCTGAATATTGTAGAAGGCATCGCATCTATGGATATCTGCTTTCCTTTGATATAATTATGGTATGTTGTGCCTCAGTGGGACTCCTATTTACTCGTTACAGTCGCCGGATTCCTTCGCGGGTATTCTACATCCTGATTATAATGTAGGATGTCCATCATCCTGAGATATCCAATATGATTAAAATAATGAGGGCAAATTCCTCATAGTGGACATCTAGCATCATGATCCAGGCAGGACTCTCTCCAGTGGACATCCAACATCCTGATTCAGGCCAGGACTCTCCAGTGGATATCCAACATCCTGGTTCAGGCAGGACTCTCTCCAGTGGATATCCAATTCATCCTGATTCCAACATCCTGGCAGGACTCACTCTAGTGGATATCCAACATCCTGATGACATTGTAGACAGAGAAATTTTCTACACAGTGATTGTAGGCTGTTATAGGCTTGAAGATATAAAAAAAGTATCTACATAAATGACAAAGAAAGAAATTCATAATTTTTTAATATCCATTTATAATTAGGCTCATTATAATTATTATTACTTGCTCATCAACTCATTTTGCTTAATAATATGTTGAGAAAACATGATGATATGTTTGATATTTGAACTGGCTGTATCTCGGTAAATATATGTGTAAAAGGCTTAATTTTGCAAATTAGCAAAGAAAGAGTTAACAGAAAGAAACGTCCAGAGGTGCGGTAATTCTAATGGTAGCATTTTGAAAACGATTCTATGGCTGGTTTTGATTTTGAGTTTTGCGAAAAATGACGATTTCGCCGAGGTGGCGATTTTTCCGTGGCAGCTCCGCTTTGCGCCATCTTTTGACAATTATTTACTGATTTAACTGACCGCTGAGCTGTGTTTATTATAAATGTACCAGTCTCATAACTGTATATGTGATAAGTCCAAGATTTTAAGAGCACACTCTAGGACTTGCAGTTGGTTTTCATCAAACGTCACGGAGAGGAAGAGGAAACGTATATATATACATATGACAATTATAACATACAATGGGTAATTATCTACACGTGTTAAATGAATATCAAAAGCTGAAATGAATGAGGAAAATGAGCCTCACATTAGCCGGAACCGGCAAGAGTGAGTGTGTGAATAATGGGGGTGATATTCTACAGGAACTAGTATTCTTCTCTCCTATTTAAAGTCACTTTGAAAACCATTGCTCAGATGATTAAAAAAATAAATCAAAGAAAAACTTACTCCTACACATCCATTGCCCAGGTGTGTTTTTTGTATTTATATATATATATATATATATATATATATATATATATATATATATATATATATATATATATATATATATATATATATATATATATATATATATATATATATATATATATATATATATATATATATATATATATATATATATGCAGTATGAAAGAATACTGTATGGGCAGGCATAACCATATTACACAACACTGCATAATTTCTACCCTGAGAGGTCATTGTGATTATACATATTTTGGTCGTATAGTTCAGCTTTTACCAGTCGTCCTCCAAAGTATCTGCCATTCAGAGCATCCTGTGCAGCCGTACTTTCTGTCAAAGGAAAAAATCAAGAAGTTAATGTAATGAAATGACTTTTGGATAGTTAGCTCCATCAATCTCATGATCTTGAGAGGCCGGGCTCGGGGAGTAGAACGCCCAAAACTCTCTCAAGCTAAGGTCAACACTTACTCAGGACCAGAAACTAACCCCCACAAAGGAGTCTGGGGATACTAGAGCAAACCAGTCCAATGTACACAAAAATCACCAGAAAGGTAGAATGCTCCAGGGCCAATGCCCTGAAGACATTGATGACCTCAACATAATCTATATATATATATATATACTTTGTCCAGTTCCAACTATTAGTCCCCCACCAGATGGCGGCCCTGGTAACTAAGGACTTCTCACTGGCTATCCACATTAGGCATACACCTGGTGCTGCTGCTTACAATTCCTAGGCCCCAATCTGCTCTTTCTGGCTTCGATTAAGCTAAATGTTGGGTATCCTTTGGGACTCTTTATCTTGTAGGACCTGTGTGTGTGTGTGTGTGTGTGTGTGGTGGGGGGGGGGGTGTCAGTTTAACTTCACATCAGGAGACATGGTACCAACTGCCCTATCAAGTTACGGGCTCACCATAGCCCGTGCTACTTGAAACTTTGTTCCAGGTAGCGAATCTTTAACAACAACAACTGCCTTCTGAGTTACTCGCGGGGAAGACAGGGACATTAATCCTTTGAACTACCTCAAGGTAATCACAGTTAAACAGGCACCACCACATTCCACCAGTCACAGCTATTACTACTAATCTTCTCTCGAATACAATTTTAAACTAGTCTCTTTGGCTTCTCTTTCACCATTTAAAAACATATTCTGCATATATAAATCTGACAAACTCCATTATTCAAATCAGGTTTTTATGAGAACCTTTTAGACCTAAGCGGGCCTATTCCGCTCCCCCCCAAAAAAGTCCCACTGTGCTGTCTATTTTCTGGACCCCCACAAAAAGTCCTGCTGTGCCGCCATCCCTAGTATGAGAAAATGGTCATTTTCTCATTCATTTGCGAAATTTGATCCAATGAGGGTAATCAGGCTTTATAAATACTGATGTAGAAGGGATAAAACTATTCAAGCCAAGAGACATTTCAAACTGGAGCCTAATATCTACAAGTACTGCTGGCTCATATCCAAAACTTCCTCTAGTACAAGAGTAATCCAATCCACACGTGAAAAAAGCGACAATGTTTTGGTCCGTCCTGATTCCTTATCAGCTGACTCGAGGAAAAGTGGTAGAGCGCCAATATAAGGCAAGAGTGAAGGAGAGTTGAAAGGAGAGAAGGTGATAAGTTAGAAAAATTAACATAAATATAGAAACTGCAGAAGGCCTAATGGCAGCTAAACAAAGCAAACTCTGAAAACACAATTACCTTTAGTTTTCCCTAGCATCAAGGTATGCTTATAATGTAAGAGGATACCACTCAAGGTCAGCCCCCACTGCCACTCAACAATGAGTTATAATGCACACAGAAATCACAATAGCGTGATGCATCAAATGAACAAATCCAGAAGGGCTGCGACGAGGATCCTTGTCACAACCCTCGTGGATTTGTTCACAAGTTATAATGGTTCTAAAATCTGCCACTATGGCAACTACCCCGCTAAATAATAATAGGGGGCCTTCCTTGCACCACTATACTTAAGTCTTACAAAGTTTCAAGTCAATATGAAAATATTTCTCAAAGTATCAAATGTAAAATGCAAATAGAGAAATATCTATGACACTCAAGGTATGTTACTGGCAACACCTACAAAAGAACTAATGGGGGTATGAGAAAATATGTAATCGGAACTCCATAAAGCTTAATATAAATATGTAGCCCTACGATTTGATATTTAAAGTGGAAATAAGCACCAGCCACAAGTAATTCAGTTTCCTACATACCATGTGGACTTGAGAATTCCACAAAGATCTTGACAAGAACTTCTGCATCTTCTTCGTCAGATTGTCTCTCTTGATATATGATAACGTGTCTTACGGTGCCAAATCGACCACATTCCTCTGTAATTTCATCTTGGAGAAGTTCATCTACTTCTTCAGCTCCTACCATATTCCGCAAGATCACCACTGTTGACTGAATTAAAATATTCTCAAATTAGTAACAAGTTAGTAAGAAATGAATGATCATTTCACTAACAGAAAAAATAAAAAGCTCATTGGATACACATCATTATTTCACTATATTTTTCAAACCCAATTGAAGCTCAATCAAACAAAAATCAAGCTTGCTCTCAAGAACATATTTCACACCAAGTTTTCACCTTTATTTAAACAAAAATTCACAACTGCTTCAGTAACACAAGATTCTAAACAGAAATTATAGCAAGGGATTCATTAGCAGGCGATGAGTCACAATAACGTGGCTGAAGTATGTTGACCAGACCACACACTAGAAGTTGAAGGGACGACGACGTTTCGGTCCGTCCTGGACCATTCTCAAGTCGATGAGAATGGTCCAGGACGGACCGAAACGTCGTCGTCCCTTCAACTTCTAGTGTGTGGTCTGGTCAACAAGGGATTCATTATTTTGAAATACACTTTTTTTTTCCTGAATTCAGAGAAAACAACTTAATCCAATAAAAATGTATAACAATTCATACCTCTGCTTTCCTCATTAGTTTTTGCATCACCAGATGTCGTGCTGATTGTCCCTTGATGGACATAGTCTCCTGCTGCTGTAGTGTCTGGGGCTCGTTGTCCTCCATGAGCTTCTTGGCCAGTTCTTCCTGGTGTGTTGGTTTACGGTCGTCGCCACCGCCCGAAGCATTCGCCGTTGCATTTCCACCGGCGCCGCCGCCAGCATTAGGCGTTGAGGGTGGCAATGGAGGTGCAAGTGGGGAACTGTTGGTGCCAGGAACTGGCAAGGAGGTAATGACTGTTGGGGGAGGTATGGCTGCTCCACTAGATGCTCCACCAAGGTTAGGCAAACTAGTTACCACTCCCACGGGAGGAACGGACGTAACGCTGCCACCCAAGACGCCGAGCGGAGGAGTTCCCATACCACCCGACGAGGTAACGCTACCAACTGTTCCCACCGGAGGCACACTGCCAACAACGCCAACTGGTGGCAGCTGAGACATAGAACCAGGAGAGCTACTAAGGCCTTGTACAAGACCAATGGCATTTGTTGCAAGAGCATCCATGGCTTGTATCTTGGCAGTAGCTGCTGCTGCCGCAACTGCTGCTGCAGTTGGCATCTGTGTTGGCGCTGATAGAGGACCCTGTAAACACAAACACTAACACTCAACACACAGTAAACACAAAGAAATCATCTTTATTTCAAACTCTCACCTGGCAATTTGTTAAAGAATATAGTAGAAAAGAGCACAACAATGTCTACAACATTTTTAAATATTTTTTGGCTTGGAATTGCTACAAATTTTGAACATTTGTTAATTTGGACAATTAAAAAGAAAACTTCATCTGAATGCATTTTGTGAACAAATTCTGAATGTTCCATTCTGTGAAGATAAACTTATCTGTGACTAATGCTGGCAAAATACCCAACACAGATCATGGGATTTTTCTCTTAAAAATGTGAAAAATCTGAGATTTTTAAAGTCAGATACTGTACTGATATTAGAACCATAAAATTCCTTGGGTAAGCAGGTTAGGAGTCACAATAACGTGGCTAAAGCATGTTGACCGGACCACACACTAGAAGGTGAAGGGACGACGACGTTTCGGTCCGTCCTGGACCATTCTCAAGTCGACTGTGAATGTGATTCTCACAAGCGACTTGAGAATGGTCCAGGACGGACCAAAACATCGTCGTCCCTTCACCTTCTAGTGTGTGGTCTGGTCAACTTCCTTGGGTAACTACTGATGGAGCTAATATGAGAAAAATAAATCTCAATGCGCTAAAATTGTGAATTCAAACTATTTACTATTCAAAAGAAAATTAATACTGGATACTAAACTAAAAAGCAGACATGATGTACTCACATAAAAAGAACCGGGAGGGGTAATGGCTTTGCCGACCCTCAGGTACTGGCCTCCCAAGTCGAACAGGTTCATGGATGCAATAGCCTCTTGAGCCGACGTGGAATTTTCGTACTCTATGAAGCCGTAACCTTTGTGCTTTCCCGGGGTGGTGCCAGGCGTTAGCATACATTGCTGAAAGGATTGTTTATTGAGTAGAACTCTCGGTGATTGACAATGTGATTAATTCTTAATCTTAATTCTTAATTAATTCTGCTAGAATAATTGGATTATTTTTTATTTCCAGGCAGCTCTTATTTTGAGCAGAGCTTGCAAAGGTGGAACACTGGCATACAGATACATATGCAACTGAGACTAAAGATACATTAGTAGGAAAAGGATTATGTTACACAATAACTTACTCATCTCTTTCTTTTCTTCCAGCTACTTTTCAGACAGTTACAGCACATAATGATGTCCACTTGGGTCATGCACACTTTGCAGAATTTTATATATTTCAATATAATCTTAAGGATTTGCAAAACCCAATATGGGTGGCTTGTGTAACACACTACTTATAATGTGCATAAACCTACAAATAATACAATAATATGCACTTAATCATGCATCAAGCCCAAAAAATTCCAAACATTCTTGTAATCTGTAATATTGAGTAACTCCAAGTATTCAGTATTCACACTGAATACAAGAGTATTTGCAACAGAATGGAAGGAGGTTATCTTCTTGAGGTTAACTTCAGATGATTTTGGGGCTTAGGAGACCAATATGAACTGTATGGGTTGCACCGTGGAAGCTCCAAGGGCTGGCACGCAAAACAACGAAGTTAATGCTATCATCAAGAGGAGCCTTGCCTCAGCTCAGTGCCCAGCAGAAAGAGAGAACCCCCGCATCCTAGTGGACGAAGACCAGGACGACCCCCGCACATCGTCCAGATGGCATCTCAATATACCCTTGGAAGAGGTGCGGACAGCTGGTGTGGGACTATACATGTATTTCAACTTGAGAATGGTCCAGGATGGACCGAAACATCATCATCCCTTCACTTTCTAGTGTGTGGTCTGGTAAATATACATACTGTACATGTGTATCCACCCTTGCTGACACCTACATACACTTTGATGCTATGAAGCAGGTGGGCCAGCCAACCACAGGGAAACAGCAAAACCTATCAAGTATAAGTGACGGGAAGGTCAATACACCTTTGTTCCCATAGCGTCTGAGACGCATGGTCACTGGGGTAGGAGCGCCTTGGGATTTCTCAAAGAATTGGGTTCCAAGCTTGTATCACCATCAGAGACCCAAGGGCTGCCAGTTTCTTGCTTTAGCGCTTCAGTGTTTCCCTCTGGACAGAGGGAAGGGGGGGTGTTAAGGTGAGTCTCCGAAAACGGACCTTCGGCTTCAAAAGACGGACTAGGATCCGTCCCTGATCAGACACAGAGAACCAAGTGGTTCCTGTCCGGAAGCGGAGGAACCCCAAGAGATCCACATCCTTTAAACACTCATTATATTAACCAATGTACATTTTGTAACCTGTAAATACGTAATAAAACACAACAAAACACAAAAGGGAGGATCCATCAGACAAAACATAGAAATGGTTTGGAAGGGACCCAAAAATCCATTCTAATGTGTTGTGTGTGCTTTTCTCCGAGGCTAAGGGTCCCCTTCTTCCAGCTAGATGTGGTACTTCCTTATTTTATATATAATAAATATAAAGATACACACACACACACCCCACCACACCACACACCACCACACCACACCACACCACACCACACCCAACACACACTACACCACACCCAACACACACCACCACACCTATCCTTGTAACAAGGACATTGTTCCCAGAAACGTTACGCACATCAAACACTCCCACTTACTTTGATTTTACCAAAAGCCTCGAAGACGCTCTTAATATCACTCTCCGACAAGTCCTGGTGAACCGACGCGATATAAATACGATTGTAATAGTTGGCCTCTTCAGTTATCTCATCAATGACTGTCTGCGCCTGGGGAAAATAACACAATTATCAGATAAACACAGGAAATTCAATCCATATAGCCCATAAAGGCGCAAGTATAAACCTTTTACGGGAGGTTGTAAAATATATTAACAGACTACATCATTATTATATCAATATCAAAGTTATTTACTTAATTTTAGCAATGCATATTTAATTGTTTACCTATATTAGTTCCAGAACACTGTCAATTAGTATGAGATTAAGAAGATGATTTTAAAAAAACAGCTAGTCTCTTTAGCAAATATACTTAACATATAACCTAAAAATTATATTAAGAAGTTAAAAGAAAACCTATGCTACTAATAATAATAAGACAAGACTTAGCTTGGGGGGAGATGTAACTGATATTTAAAGATAGTAACCTAAGTCAAAGAGAAAACTCAGACAAAACAACCAATCACTACACCACCAATGGACTTATTACGGCATAAATCACAGGACGCACCTCGGCAATTGGACGCATCAAATGAGGCCAATATACAGCCAATGGAGCAGAAACAATCCAGCTATAACAACCTGAGCAGCGGCAACCAGCGCACACCAACACAACAAAATGACTCTCATGGTTATAGAGATACAACATTCCTCTCTTCTTCATATGTAAATGACATTTAATAACAAACTAAAGCAGAAATAAGGCCTGGGGGCCTAACACTGTACATCCATTGGTAGTGTAGTACCATGATTGTTGGCTTATAGTAGCACTTCTTCCACAACTCACATTCTTCTACTCATCCTTCATTTACACTAAATTCCTACAAATTTGAAAGCAGAGGTTAATATACAGGGCAAGTGACACATTCGCTTTTTTTTTTAATATAAATATATATATGTATATATATATTTCACAAACTTTACCCCAGCAAAGAAGCCTCTCAAGGGACAACATTTACACCACAGCATCAACAAAAGCCATAATACTTGCACCATCTGTTGTCCTTGTCATGGAAAGAAGTCTTGCTTGAGTGACATCACAGGCACTGAGGCCCTGTGCTGTCGACCAATTCTGTCAATATAAATAAATTTTCACAAACTTTTCAACTGATTCTCATCTTGACGCTTATAAGTGCCCCATGCTGTATTGGTCCAATTAGTCGGAGAAAATTTATTATGGAAACCCTTTCAGCAAGAGAAAAAGTACACATGAAGAAATTAATTGGCTTGAAAAAATAAAAATAAAATAAGTTATTAGTAACCAAGCCTCCAGCACATTTTTTAAGAATGAAAAATGAATAAATGCATCAAATTTGTTTAATTAGTTGCTGCTTTAGGCAATAAATTTGAAGGAAAATATCCCAACCTTAATAACTCAATTATTATTTGACTGGACATTTTGATACTGACAAAATCTTTTGGGTGAGTAGGTCTGGTCTAGACTGAGGGCAGTTGAGTTATATAGACATCTAAAATAGATCTTTTTCTGGATTACTATTAAAAATACAGAGCAAAACTCATTCCCTGTCGACAAGTTACCCTGACAACAAAAAACAAGTGACTAGTAAAAGAGCAAAGGGACTGAATGAGTTTATAAGGACTTAAAAAAGGTCATAAGGAACAGATATTAACATAGTTTACAATGGATGCAGCAGACAAAAAGATTAAAATTGGACTACTCCTTACATTTGCCAATTAGTCTAAAGGGCATCCAAAAGTCATGAACCAGATAAAAGATGTTCACATGAAGATCATAAACAAGGGAAAATCAGAGTATCAATTTATTGAAAGTAAAAAATCTCCCAGAATTGGGTACATAATCCCAGCAGCCAAAACTAATACAAATACACACAAAAAGCTGGGTAATAAGCCGTGACTGCCATTGTAAACATACGCAAAACAAAATCTCTCTTGTGCTCTTTTGTGACAATCGTGCAAAATACACAATATAATCACACTACAGAAACAAAACACCCACAACAATGGGATGATCATTTTAACTGAATGCCATCACTTGCCTCATTGCCTCTATATATGCCAGAACAGATCTTAAGAGAGACCTTAGCACACGAGGAGTCACAATAACGTGGCTAAAGAATGTTGACCAGACCACACACTAGAAGGTGGAAGGGACGACGACGTTTCGGTCCGTCCTGGACCATTCTCGAGTCGATTGTGAATGGTCGATTCTCACAATCGACTCGAGAATGGTCCAGGACGGACCGAAACGTCGTCGTCCCTTCACCTTCTAGTGTGTGGTCTGGTCAACAGCCTTTAGCACGTATAACTATACTATTAAACACATTTTCAAGCCAGACTTCTACAGCATATGACAACAGAACCAAGTTAAAAACGTAAGTCCTTGAAACTTAAGCCAAGTCAAACAAAGAAGATATGAGAAAGGTCGTTTACTCTCCAATACTGCGGCTTACGAAAAATCTCAAAACATCAACATCGTGTACACAAGACAGTGGGCAAAGCAGAGAACATAGCCAGCCATAGCATGGGGCAACTTAGCAAAGGAAAGCGCTATACAGGATGAGAGAGACTCAGCATAAGCTACCAACGATGAAGAAATATTTAAAGAAGACAAGTTATGATCAGGAATTAAAAAAGAAAAAAATATTAACACGTAAAGTAGAAATTAACGGAAGAAGCGAGAACAAAAATAATCTACTTTACGTAAATAAAGACGTAAATAGAGTAATTGCTGTTATATAGCAAATTCCTTAAACATCAACACAGAAAATGGTAATGCATGACAATCTACTGTACACAAAGTGTGATAAAGGGAGATATAGGGAGAAGGCAGACAGCAGATAAATGTATAAAGAAAGCAGACAGGAGAAAAAAGGGGAATAAAGCAGAGAAATAGACAATCATAGCAGAGAAATAAGGGCATAGCAGAGAAACCAGAGAATAAAGCAACCATAGCAGAGAAACCAGAGAATAGAGCAGACACCGCAGAGAAACCAGAGAATAAAGCAGGGGGAGAAACCAGTAAATAAGCAGACAGAGAAACCAGGTAATAAAGCATAGCACAGAAAGCAGGGGCAGAAAGCAGACACAGCAGATAAACAAGGGAAAGACAGACAGCAGGGGAAACAATGGTAGAAAGATATAATAGAGAAACAAGGAGAGAAAGCAAAGCAGATAAACAAACAAGGGATGCAGCCAACCAAAAGATAACAAAACAATATTAAAGTGGCAAGAATTTAAGAGGAAGAATTAATGCATTTAGAAATGGCAATGGCATACAGAACAAGAATCTAAACGTAGTAATTTTAACGTTGTTCAACCATAAATAAGCTGTCATTCCTACTGCTGCTTCTAAATGCACACAAGTCTTATTTACAAGAGTATTAAATTGATCAGCGTCTTACATTAAGCTAGTTATGTCACTTGCCCTTGAGAATTGTTTTATGCTTCAAGGGAGGTAATATACAAATATAAGGTGTAGGAAATGAACTTTACCCTCCTAAAGAAAACAATTCTGCTTTAAAAATGACCCCAATGTCTTACGACTAGAACTTAAAACGAAACACTATAAAACAAAGTATCGTACGAAGGCGACCGAGGGGGACATCCCATCCGTACGAGTGCACATCCTGAAACAGTTGCACGAAATTCTCTCAAACAAGCACCCATATACAAAATGACAACAATTGTAGGCGATGAGTCACAATAACGTGGCTAAAGTACGTTGACTAGACCACACACTAGAAGGTGAAGGGACGACCACGTTTCGGTCCGTCCTGAACCATTCTCAAGTCGTAACCGACTTGAGAATCGACTTGAGAATGGTCCAGGACGGAGCGAAACGTCATCGTCCCTTCACCTTCTAGTGTGTGGTCTGGTCAACATGACAACAATTCCTTTTCAACAAGATTATTAGGAGCCACAAGGCTCCAGACAAACATGTAATTCATAACCTATCACCAGGGTGCTTCAGACTTCAAAAGCAACATAGACCAACATGTTTTAGAATCCTAATACAAGTACTATATCAAATTTGCACCAATTGGAACAATGTGGGATTCAAAAATCAACTCCATATTACAGTGACTGAAGGGGAAACCGTAGAGTTCCAGTTACCTAAGTATTTGTTTAACCTGAATACACCATGGATAATAATTTAGAATATCTAAAGGTCATTTTGGGTATTTGGGGCATTTTTGAGATAATTAGGCATTTGTGTCTACTAAATTCAAAGTAATCAAATATGATCATTATTGAAACAATGACTAAAAATATCTGTAATTATTTAACTCTCAACATATAAATAGAAAGTGACAACGCTTCAGTCCATCCTGGACCCATTATCACATCAGGTACAACTTTATGGAGATCCATAAAACAAAATAACATCAGATGAACAAATCCACAAGGGCCGTGACGAGGGTTCGAACCTACGTCCGAGAGGATCCCAGACGCTGCCTAAATCGACTGAGCTACGATGCATCGCGTTCACTATTTGTTCATTTGATGCATCACGCTATTGTGATTTCAGTGTATATTGAAAATGACATCACTTTTTTTTCTGTGTTGGCCGGGTTATTCATTTTCATCCGTGCTATTGTGACTGCATCCCAATTAATAGATTAAAACACAACTCGCAACGCTAGCACCATGACTGCTACAATGAACACTGTACTACATAATACCTGTACCATCCCAAGCTAACACACACGTGTTGACCCATATGACCACAATCGACTTGATAATAATCCAGGACGGAATGAAACGTCGTCGTCTTTTCACTTGGTGTGTGTGGGGTTTGGTCAACATCTTTCAGCCACGTTATTGTGACTCTTCATCAAACATAGTTCAAATCCACTAATTTACTCCACTGCAATAACAGTCAACTCCCAGCCTTACATGGGAAGGTGTTCAGAGGCACTACTTAAAAGTCAACTACATTGGTTCTAATTAAGAACCATAATCTAAGTGAAAAACGGGAGATATTCCATAAATTAAATTACATTAAAAAATTACAATATTGTAGGTCTTGTCAGCTATAAAGATGAACAAATACAAAATAAACAATGCTTTATGAGACAGCAAACTGGGATGGTGAATGAATGAATGAAATCTTTCATTAAACTTGTATGAAAGCTAGCCATTAAATCTTTCAAAAGTATCTGCAATAAACTTATGGCATCAAATAATTCTTAGTTGAGCCTTCCATGACATTCCATATTAACATGAAAACACGGCTGATCAAGTTACAGAAATGCCATAACAAATCAGAAAGAACTTTTTCAGTGTCAGAGTGGTTGACAAATGGAATGTATTAGGCAGTAATGTGGTGGAGGCTGACTCCATACACAGTTTCAAGATATGATAAGAGCCCAGTAGGCTCAGGAACCTGTACACCTGTTGATTGACGGTTGAGAGGCGGGACCAAAGAGCCCGAGCTCAACCCCCGCAAACATAACTAGGCGAGTACATTGTCCTGATGACTCTCTGCCATTTAAATTGCATTGAAACTATATACAACATTTTGATAATGCTACATAAAAAGAGTTGACAGTAGTACCCAAATTTAATGACATCTATTGTAATTTATTCCTTAGCCACAAAAAGAATATTCCATAATGCCGTATATTGTTCATAACTAATGAACATGTCTAACAAACAGGAACCAATTTGGATCAGGTGTAACCCTTACTACACAGCAAAATGCAAAAGAAATGCCACAAATACTACAAAATGACAATTGAATCCTAATATACCACATCATAGGCATCAAAAGTAAGCAATTTGGGTTTGAGCATTAATGAGAAATCTGCTAAAACACTTCCCCAATAAATGGAACAGTTTTATCACATTACTACAGGGAGCTATATAGATGTAAATACAGTAGTGGGAACCTTTCGTACATGTAGTAGATGTGCCAACTTTTCCACCACATATGTACCCACGTAACCTCTTGTACTTCTCTACAAGCCAAATATACCTGCGTTCTTTGACATTGTTGGGGGGTTTAATGCAGCCCGTCCTCCTAAGGTTTCCCAGCGTCAAGAAACTGTCGTGCTAAAGTGCCCTTATCCGAACCTAAAACATTAAAACCGAGGACCCAAAACAGAAAATGGGACATTATGTCAATTTCCCGAACTGCTACCATTTTCTAGTATGACGATTTTTGGCCTTAAGTATGTATTAAAATGCGAAGTTCTATTAGGATGATAGGTTGTTTAAAGTGTGTACCAAGCATTCACCATTTAGATATGACATCATTAAGATGTCAACAGCAACCAATAATATCCCCCCCCCATAAGCTGCCACAAAGGAACCACAGAACCATAAACTAACACCTTAAATGACCCCATGGCATGTGTGCTAAATCTCAAGTAATAATTAAGATTATTAAGGTAAAATGCCAAAAACCGAACTCCTTGAAGTATAAAACTTAGGCAAGACTAACTGTTGAAACAGCCATTAGGCAACAGTGTTCAATATTTACAAAGCATACAACATAATTCAAAGACATGTGCGCATCATATATAAAGGAATTCTCTATAACCATTCTTGAAAAATCATTCAGTAAATAACAAACGACAGAAAGGTGGCCCAAGCCAACAACTTTCAAACGACATTACCCAGCGCTAGACAACGTGTGCTACACACTTCATTCCAAATCGCTGAGAAACCACACCGTGCCGACAACAATAGAGCGCTTAAACACCAAATTGGGAGATAATTATTCTTAACTATATTTTTGTCCTATAAATAGATCTTCCACATCTAGTGAGAGCACGTAACATGAGCAGAATACACTACTGTCCTGTAAAAAACTATTTGTAAGTAAAGTGACCTCCCAATTTCATGTTTGAACTTAAGATCCACCAACTCCTTATAGCAACACTACACTAAGAAACCTGACAAAATAAATACCAAGTCACAAAAGAGCCACCAGCAAGTAACACTGCCCAATTCCAAAGCAAACCTCCACATTATTACCAGACAAAGACATCCAATTGACAACGTCTCAAGATATCATCTAGAAACACATGCAGCAGAAAAACACAAAAATCAAATCAAGAGAAAAACCTGTGAGATATATCCCCGAAAGGGATATTTAATAATTAAAAATCGTTTCACAGAATGGGTTACTGACCTGGGGCATATTTGATGGGCGTCCAACTTTGATGTTGCGACCACCAATCATCACACCGTTCATCTGCTCCAGTGCTAATTGCGCTGCTTCGGGCATCTCATATTCGACGAAAGCAAATCTGTGAAAAAGATTCTTTCAAGTTTTGTTGACGTTCACGATCTACAAATAAAAATAATTAAGAACTGTTTGTGAAGGATGCCATGCATCTTCAGACATATGCAACAATAATGTAATGCACCTAAATATGCAAAATTATATTTAATATGATACTGTTGACCAATCCACACACTAGAAAATGAAGGGACGACGACGTTTCGGTCCGTCCTGGACCATTCTCAAGTTGATTGTGTCACAATCATTCATTCTAAAGTCACAATCGACTTGAGAATGGTCCAGGACGGACCGAAACGTCGTCATCCCTTCATTTTCCAGTGTGTGGTCTGGTCAACATACTTCAGCCACGTTATTGTGACTCATCGCCACCTTTAATATAATATGCATAACAAATAAAACAAATCCAAAAGGGGCCCAGTACAATAGTTCGGAGATCATTATACATACAAATATATTATATATTTATATTTGTACATGTATATATACACTATATATACATGTATATATACATGTACATACAAATATACGGTAATATTACTTCATTTTCTGCAATTCTATCATGAATCCATATTCATTAATAATTATCAAGAATATTATAAATGGCACACATATATATATGTGAGAACATACAGTGATTATGTTGACCAGACCACACACTAGAAATTGAAGGGACGACGACGTTTCGGTCCGTCCTGGACCATTCTCAAGTCGATTTCGACTTGAGACTTGAGAATGGTCCAGGACGGACCGAAACGTCGTCGTCCCTTCAATTTCTAGTGTGTGGTCTGGTCAACATACTTCAGCCACGTTATTGTGACTCATCGCCTGCATACCGTGATTATAATTGAAATGTGAGAAAATACAAATCACAAGCTCGTTACAATTTTCTTTGTACTTTGAGGCCATCTTGTCCAAATGAGCAGTACTCTTACTGTACAGTACTTAAACCTTTGAAATGTGCAAATCAATCAGGGATGATTGTGCCATGTCTGACCCCACTATACCAGTCCATAAGTAATGATTGATACTTATGTAAATCATATGTACAGTACATAGTGTAATGACAGTAGAAACTTAATGTTTTATTGTTCAAAGAATATAATATTGTGTACATATTAGTGAGATAAATGTGTGTACTCACCTAGTTGTACTCACCTAGTTGTGCTTGCGGGGGTTGAGCTCTGGCTCTTTGGTCCCGCCTCTCAACTGTCAAGCAACAGCGGTGTGTGTGTGTACCTATGTTCCACATGTTCGGTAATACAAATAACACGCAATTGACATCCAATGCATCAATGCACTTGAAAGATCATTGGCACAATCATTGGAGGTATAATGAAAATATAATACATTCAATGCTCGTAGTTTCAATTTCAGGCAAACCATGTCGCGCTAGGATGAACTCTGATAACTGGTTCTATGATTTTTACACCAAGCAGAACTACTTAGTGCTTTGTAATGCTCCATGAAAATATATAGTTATATATAATGTGTGTATATATAGTGTAATAATAACAAAAATAGTATATTTCATTGTTCTTGGCATACTATTTTGTGTCACATGAATATATCACATGAATATATACCTGGTACACTAATTATCCCTTGAGGTTATCCTGAGATGATTTCGGGGCTTTAGTGTCCCCGCGGCCCGGTCCTCGACCAGGCCTCCACCCCCAGGAAGCAGCCCGTGACAGCTGACTAACACCCAGGTACCTATTTACTGCTAGGTAACAGGGGCATAGGGTGAAAGAAACTCTGCCCATTGTTTCTCGCCGGTGCCTAGGATCGAACCCGGGACCACAGGATCACAAGTCCAGCGTGCTGTCCGCTCGGCCGACCGGCTCCCTTCCTCCCTCTCAACAATGATTTCTTCATAGTTATTTTTAAAGTTGTGAATGGAATTGGCTTCAACAACCTCATCCTCTACTACATTCCACTTTCCTACTACCCAACAAGAGAACGAAAACGTCCTTATTTCTCGACTCGATTGTAAATCCAGCGTCTCTTGACCTATCTTCTTTTAATTTAAATAGGCTTCCTTTATCCACTTTATTTATTCCCCTCGAAGATCTTGTATGAAATGATCATATCCCCTCTTAGGTTGTGAGGGAGTTCTCTCAATCTGTCCTCATAGCTGAGGCCTCTCAATTCTGGTACTTCTCTAACTGCAAACCTCTCAACTTTCTAAAGTTTTTGATTATGTTTCACAAGGTGTGGGCTCAATGATGGAGCTGCATACTTAAATAATGGTCTCACATAGGTAGTGAGTATGGACGTGAAAGCATTCTTGTTTCAATTCTGAAATGACGTTCTCATCTTTGCTAACTGTCCGCCTGAGCTTCTGGTGTTAATATTGAGATTACCTGGAGCATACCTAGAGAGGGGTTTCTGGGAGTCGTTCCACTCCCCGAGGCCAGGCTCGACATGTGACAGCTTGGTCCAACAGGCTGTTGTTTGGAGCGGCCCGCATGTTTACTTCCAGGTCTTTTTCTCTTGTTTTTTTAAGTGCTTTCCCTTTATGGTATTGTTAAATCCATTTCTAGGCGCTCTAAACCTCATCTACCTTCGACATTTTTGTCCTTAACAATTTGTATACTCATTTTGGTGTCATTAGTGAAGGTTGGCAGGAAACTTCGGGTTCCGGGTTCGGTCCCCGGTGGAGGCGGAGACAAATGGGCAAAATGTTTCTTTAACCCTGTTGCCCCTGTTACCTAGCAGTAAATAAATACCTGGGAGACAAGACAGCTGCTACGGGCTGCTTCCTGGGGCTGGAGGCCTGGTCGAGGACCGGGCCGCGGGGACACTAAGCCCCGAAATCATCTCAAGATAACCATCCTTACCTTATATTTGTTTAGGCTGAATCTGGTGCCATTTGTTTCCCCACTCCTTTATTTAATCTAGTATATTGGTTTAATGTATTATTCCAGTGAAAGCTGTTTTGAACCTGGCTGAGTGGCATGTGGCAAAGGATGAAATCAAACTAAGCTGTCATATTTTGTGTTGATTGCATATCCCCAGAGCATACCTTACGACCAACACTCCGCTGCTGACCACATGTATCATCACAATCGTCTACCACTCTGTTCGCAAACAGAGTGGTAGACGATTGGAACAAGTTAGGTGAGAAGGTGGTCAAGACCGTCAGTAGTTTCAAAGCGTTATATGACAAAGAGTGCTGGGAAGACGGGACACCACGAGCGTAACTCTCATCCTGTAACTACACTTAGGTAATTACAATAGTGATCACCACCGCAAGAGCTACTTTATCAAAATCAACAAGCTTTTGTAATTACTCGTGCCTTAATTGATAACACCAAGTTCAAAATAAATGTCAACACATACTCAATTTGCAACTACTTTGTTGTAAAACACACATGTCCAACAAACTCAACCATGTAAACCTGATTCAACACAGCTTATGCATGTAAATCATTGCTCACCAAGAACACACAACTCTTGGATTTCTACAAAATAAAAATCAATTTAATGACATTGAAACTAAACACCTGACCACACCTAAGACTTGTAACACAATGTAAACTGGTATAGATGCATGTTAATTGCATCATTTGTTGTTGTTGTTTAAGATTCGCTACTTGGAACCAAAAGTTCCAAGTAGCACTGGCTATGGTGAGCCCGTAGTGGACTTACCTGGCATAGGAGAGGGGCGATAGAGTCGCCCACATCATTTTTAATGGTGGCAATATATATATCACAGAGGTTAGGTGTGCATAACCTATGCACACCTAACCTGTACTCTGAACAATTTCTGCTTTACATCAAAGGCAGAAAAGTGACAAATACTTTTGTAAACCTGCTGAATGTATATAACAATCAAACTAAGCAAATAAATCAAATATTATGCCCCTGCTTTAAGGCAAGCTTTAAGAAAAATATCCCCATGCAGATTCAATAAACATCCTTATCAGTTAGAGGAAACATTTATACAATTGACCAGACCACACACTAGAAGGTGAAGGGACGACGACGTTTCGGTCCGTCCTGGACCATTCTCAAGTCACAATCGACTTGAGAATGGACCAGGACGGACCGAAACGTCGTCGTCCCTTCACCTTCTAGTGTGGTCTGGTCAACATACTTTAGCCACGTTATTGTGACCCATCGCCTGACATTAAGTAAACACACACAACAGACATACCCTTTATGTTTTTGAGTAACGGGATCCCACGACATATTTATGGATTTGATTGGACCGAAGGGAACGAAGGCTTGACGTATGGTGTCCTCCTTCAGCTCGAAACTTATGCTGCCAACGTACACTCGACACATTAGAACTAGAGCCTGGTGTCGTTGTAAAGATTTGGCTTGCTGTGGGGGGAAAAAAATAAATAATGTAAATAATTATTTAATGTAATTGAACTCAAAACACAAAAAGAAAATAGGAGTAAAATAAATCATACTTCACTAGCAACAAATATTCTTCAAACTTAGATACAGAGATTGAAAACTAAAGTATAATTTAAATATTTCTCTCTTTCGCCAAACATCAGACTATCTTGACACATTTAAAGTTTAATTTATAACAAAAATATTAAAACATTCTAAAGCAACTGAGATTTACAGTTCCTAGACAAGGAAAATAAAATAGACTAATGGATATCTCGTGGAATTTGCCATGTATTATGTTTACAGCGCATTACTGTACTAATATTTATCACAGGAATTTTCAATGTAATGTATACATTATACTGCATATTTATTTTTCAGTAATCTATGAAGCATAACGAAATATTTGTTTGTTTACGGTATGCTGTGTGGCTCAGCCAAGTTAGATATAGGCAACCATACCACTCATGGGATACAAAATCCAGAATTTGGATATCACAAATCCAGAATTAGGATATCACTTCACTGTCAATGATGGATTACTTATTTGTGGTTAGATTCTGTGGGTGTGGCCCATACTGTCACCTGTTGGATTTCAAACTATCCATATATCTCTATTTGCAAAGTACAGTCATTTCTATCTTATCTACACAAAATTTCAGTATGTAATTTCAAATTGTAACCTTTTGTTCAATCCAGTGACGATTCCAAAAGTTATGCAGGCGAAGAGTCACAATAACGTGGCTAAAGTATGTTGACCAGACCACACACTAGAAGGTGAAGGGACGACGACGTTTCGGTCTGTCCTGGACCATTCTCAAGTCGATTGTGTTCAAAAGTTATTGCCAGTGTGTCAATTGTTTCTTTTCATAGACTTCGTCTCCTTTTCTCATCTTTCAATATGAACACTTCCACTACCTACAGTCTTAATACTGTACTTAGCTCATATCATATGAAAAGATCATGTTCAAACATATTCAAAATTTGCAAATAAAAAAGTAGTATTCATCTGACAAAATAAATGAAATTAACTATAAACCAAATGGTAAATATGGGGACCAGACCACACACTAGAAGGTGAAGGGACAACGATGTTTCGGTCCGTTCTGGATTGTCAATCGATTGACAATCGACTTGAGAATGGTCCAGGACAGACCGAAACGTCGTCGTCCCTTCACCTTCTAGTGTGTAGTCTAGTCATCATACTTTAGCCACGTTATTGTGACTCATCGCCTGCGGTTAATATGGGTTTCTTCTGCCCTGAATAGAAGTGTGGCCTTTAAATACTCAAATGTTGCACCAACATTATGGTGGCAGCACTTGTTAACGACACTGCAGCTGAGACACACTCCAAACTTACAACAAATTTGACATCACAAAGCACAAGGCATTAATTAATAATTAATCTTGTAAGAGGGATATACGAATACGCTTCATGTTTAAATCTTGCCCACAAAAACTAGACTCATTTGATCTGCGATTTCTTAAGTCAGTTTTAAGAATCCTAGTTCTGTGTTGCGGAAACTTGGTTCATCAGGCTATTCCTTACAGCAGCCTACAGACCCACCTATCCACTACAAACTCACCAGATCTAGCACTTCTTGAAGAAATTTGTACAATTCATCTCCCTGAACTGCTTAGTTATTGGCCAAGGGGAGAAATTTCTGCCTTATCCAGGCAGGTGCTGCAACTGGCTGACTGAACATCGTATGTTGCTGTAGAAGAAGCTCTAGCTCTCTTGTCTTGGCTGCTCTGTTCATGCCTGTGCTGTCTTCTCTTCTTGTTCTAGATTTAGCTACTCAGAACCAAGTGTCCATGTAGCACGGGCTATGGCGAGCCCGTAAGTTGTATTCTGTTCCCCAAGCATTTTATACATTCCTGTTTTATTTTTTTCCTATTTTCCCAAGATGTGCGCACTTATCCTATAATGGTCCAGAAGTCGGCTTCACTGGCTGCCTAAAAACTGAATGAGCCAGAGTTCATATACTAGCCAGGTAATTATTGTGGGTTGCCTCCAGATACTTTAACCCTATCCTAGAGGAACCACAATAAACCTAACATTCTTCCTCTCCCTCCAACAACAGGAAACCAAGTGAGAGGTGTACGGAGATGCAGAGATAATAAGGTGATGCAGCAGGCTGTGATGGTAAGTTATTTCATTATTGCAAATATTTTTTAAATAGTTCTCACAACACAAACCTGTGTTGCTCATGGACGCAGGTTCGAATCCTCGTCACGGGCCTCGTGGATTTGTTCATTTGATACATCACGCTATTGTGATTTCTGTGTGTAAGAATACATCTTCTCCCATACACTAGCTCTCAACAAAGACTATTTTATTTCAGTTCACAATTTGACCAGAAAGACAAATATTTTTAACTACGCAACACCAAGTTAAGCCTGTAATTATCTTGAAGTTATTTTTGAGATACCAATCCCACATCACTTCCATGCAATGCCACTAAAAACTATTGCAATCTATAAAGCTATTTGGGATACGATAACACTTTACATAGTATACCTGTATGTGGTATTGTTCTATGAAATACATTCCAAATTTGAAAATAATGTCTAGCTTTATTGCAAAATATAGCAAATATATATTTGGCCCTACTGCACAATTCAACATGATTTTATTTGGAAGTGATACTGCTGAGAGTATTTCTGGGCATCAGGACATGCATATACAGTATGTAGAATATCAAGAGCAGCTACACTTGTTCGCTTACGAGATATCGTTCCAAGAAATTCTCCCTCCCTTTATGCATTACAAAATGGTCCTAAAATCTGCCCCCAGGTGGGAGGGGGGGGGGGGGCCTAGGTGGCCCAATAACAACAGGAGCCATCCTTGCATCACCATACATAAGTACCTGTACTGAAAGTGTCAAGCCGATACATGAAGACGTTCTCCAGATATCGCACGGACACTGCAGATTTTGGGAGAGAAAATAAAATCCTGTGAAAACCATAAGGTATCCTTACCAGGGACACCTAATTACGAATATATATGTTGACCAGACCACACACTGGAAGGTGAAGGGACGACGACGTTTCGGTCCGTCCTGGACCATTCTCAAGTCAATAGAATCGACTTGAGAATGGTCCAGGACGGACCGAAATGATGTCGTCCCTTCACCTTCTAGTGTGTGGTCTGGTCAACATACTTTAGCCACGTTATTGTGACTCATCGCCTGCATAGGAACATATAAATTGGCATCTATACTTCCGTGGAAATAAACGTTCCAATCACCAGGGGCCAGATTCACGCAGCAGTTACACAAGTACTTACGAACGTGTACATCTTTCATCGATCTGACAGCTTTAATTACATTTATCCAACAGTTTACAAGCATGAAAACTTGCCAATCAACTGTTGTTATTGTTTTAAACAGCCTCCTGGTGCTTCGGAGCTCATTAACCGTTTAATAATTGTAAACACAGCCGACAAAGATTGAGAAAAGATAGACAGGTTTGTAAGTGCTTGCGTAACTGCTTCATGATTCTGACCCCTGGGCTCCAGGAGTCTCTAACCGAGACTCCCCACGCATGTGTGGCCAAAACTCTATCGACTCATCTAGTCAATTAGTATCTACTAATTAGAAACATTATTGGAACTAGTACCGTACTGATCCTTAAGAGACCCCTTGTGTCTCACAATCGACTTAGGAGTCGATTATGAACAATCGACTTGAGAATGGTCCAGGACGGACAGAAACATCGTCGTCCCTTCACCTTCTAGTGTGTGGTCTGGTCAACAAAATCACTATTTGGTAAAGTTTTATTTAGTTTTTAGCTTTGTTCAAATTATAGTTATTTTCTTTCCTCTCCCCATCCTCTTCCCCCTCCCCCCCCCTCTCCCCCTCATTTCCCAATCCTCACCATCTTTCTCTTCTTTGCCTTTCTATATATGGCGTTCCAGGAGTCGAGACCCGGGGGCCAAGTACTGGTACATGGGCAAGGTAATTTCTCTTTCAAAGTCTGCTGTGCTCATGTTAATATCAGTTACTTTGTCAGATTTGTGTACAACATTCATAAACTGTCTGGACCTTCAACTTTCATGTTGTTTATTCAGATGCTAAACATAGCCTTATACTGGTGTTTAGGACTGTACTAATTTCTTTGTCATCCCATGTGTATGAACCCTCTCTTGCAAGTAGGGCTCTGGAGTCTGTCATGGGATTACAGGCGCAAACAATTCTTGGGTTACTGGAGTCAGAGTCGGTATAAATGTATCGATTTTGACCCCATATTCTACAGCTAGATGCTAAAGTTCTTAGTTCAATTTTTCAATCGTCTACTATATAATTTTTATAATTTTAATCTGCAAAAAATTGGAGAAGAAATATAAACTCAATGTTTGAATTTTCAAAGCTTTGTCATTTGTGTAAAATTTTGGGTTACTGAATGTTTATAATTTCTTTAGTATAATAAAAAAAAGTTACAGTAACATAGCTACAGCCTTTAGGCCCAAACTAACAGGGTAGGATTCCAAAATGTGGTCCGACGATACAAGCTGGCAGTGACGAAATGCCTTGTATGCTGCGTGCTTTCAATTGACAGGAAATAAATAATGTATTTGTTATTTATTTCCCAATAATGATATATAAATTAAAGAGTTGGAGGTGCCATAAATAGAGGTGTCAGAGATGGAAGTTTTTATGCACTGACCCCATACCCCACCCCCCCCCCCTCCCTAGTATATAGCTAGTTAGTATGGGTCCAATACTTGTGGAAGCTTTTCACACACACCCATACACCTAGCAGAATTTTTAAATCTTTAAAAGGTCCGTGCAACACGTCTCGCTGTTCAACGGATTTGATCAAACCACGAACTCGATGTTGCAATTACTTTATTATGATTTTTTACCAAATTATATTTCTTAATAGTACTAGTATTGGTATTATTGTGTTGTGATCTGTAACATTAGCCACTAGAGATGTCACTGGTCAGTGTTGTGGCATGAATACTGATAAGTCGCAAGTGGTCCGTGACTTGGGCATTGCCTCATACCTCACACACGTCACCGTCACAAGTGAGTAGTGGCATACTGTCATCAATGTCATATCTGTCACCAGTGGTGACCGTCACGATCACCGTCATCAATGGCTAGTATCACAGCATGATCACTGCCCCATCTCCCATATGCCATTATCAAATAATAGATCTCTTAGCTTTCTGAAATGGCCTGACTTTGCTAACATTGTAGAGAACAGTGACCTTGGAACAAGTAATTTAACAAATTTAAATACAGTACATACTTGAATATCATTTACTCTTCAAACTAAGGTATACAATTATTCCACTCTGATACCCTAAAAGTAAAACATAAAAAATTATACAAAATTTTCTAATGGTTGTACAGCACTGAATCTGACTTCAAGGGGACAAAATGCAATTACAGTAAATATATATACATCAATATAGCGTATTTGAAAACACGTCAACAAGCCACAACAGAACAAATATATCTCACCTGCTGTTGGTGCGCTAATGTTTGCTTCATTAGGACAAGACGAATAGACTGTTCCATGGCATATTTCTTGGCTCTAGCTACAGTATCCTTCTGGTCGGAGGAGAGGCGCGGTAGGCTTTGCCCGAGGAGGTGAACCACGTCGTCCTTCTTGGCTCCAGCACCTGGTAATGAACAAGAACCACTAGCAACTCGCCCATCTTCATCATCAATGGACACACAAATATGTACCAAAATACAGAATAAATGCTGATCAAAATGTTGCTTAAGAAAACCCTTTCATTAGTAAACAACACTTTCCACCTTCAAGAGCAGCAAGGACACTGCCTTGAGATGATACAAGACTACAGTAATGCACGTCAGGAAAGGGAAATGTTAAAAGACTATTAGGTGATCAGGGAATGCATTTTAACAGTATTAGAAGGGGGAAAACAATTTGTTTTCTAGCACACAGCACTGTTGCAAGGTATTAATAGCCACACTGCCCAAGAGTTAATTGTGTTGGTTCCGGGGATCAATGTCCCCATGGCCCAGTCTCTAACCAGGCCATGGGTAACCTATAAACTATGAATGGATGTAACTACTGTTTACTCCAGCCACAAGTGTAATGATCTTTATCATTCACAGATAATTATAGCCACTACACACAAAACTAGAATATACAAGACATTTTAATGATTACATGAGTTATTATGACTCTTAGCTAAATAATATACTGTAATTTTATTTTAAATAACTCATTTATAAGAGTACAAACAATTATGAATCTGAGAATAATGTTCAGGAAGTTCTGCTATTGAGATTAGTAGAGAAAAGTGAACTTTGGCAGGTCTGTGGATGGCATTCCTCCATTTTCAATGGGGTCATCACACTAATAAGTGAGCTTGCACATACTGCGGACAGCTTAACAATGATGTTATTTTGAGGCTATCTTGAGTTGATTTCGGGGCTTTGTTCTTAGTGTCCCCGCGGCCCAGTCCTTGACCAGGCCTCCACCCCCAGGAAGCAGCCCGTGACAGTTGACTAACACCCAGGTACCTATTTACTGCTAGGTAACAGGGAATGATGCAAACATCAAGTGAAGCATTACATACCAAACAAGTTTCATGATGGCATAAGGACAATAGGACAAACTCCATCATAATATGGCCATCCCGCTTGAAGGGGAATTCTTAAAAGGAAGAATATAGTGCACATGCACAATACCACAACACCATGAATCAACCAATAAATAGAGAGGCCACACGATGGAACTGAACCCACATGTGCATGTAGGTTACATTAGCATTTTAAAAGCATTTCAATCACATTCTGTGGCTGATTTTTCAATACATCACTGAACTATATATACAATAAATCATGGAGAACAAACTCTTGTCCATGGAGGACAGAAGAAAAAATATATATATATTCTGGTTAGCATTGTAAATGGCCACATCTGTGGTAGAAAAAAAATCAATAAAATCCCCCGACCACCTAAGGCACGAGCACCAACAACTGGTCCATATCGGATTAAAACCATTGCCACCAGAAGTCTGGCAGGACTTCTGGTCAAGATTTCTTGGCCATCATAGTCCAGTGGGTAATGCATGTGCCTGAGGTGGTCTTGGACACACTTATTGACCAGACCACACACTACAAGGTGAAGGGACGACGACGTTTCGGTCCGTCCTGGACCACTCTCAAGTCGATTGAGAATGATCAGGCGATGATCTCATTGCCTGCATTGGACGCTTAGTTCCAGCGTACAGCCTCAATATTTACTCACAAATGCACCATCGTATTTCCAACTTGAGATACAGTACTTCACAGAAAATCTAATCACTATTTATTAAAAACATTTAATTGAGGTTTACTTACCCAAGATGAGAGTGCCAGACTGATCAACCTCTCGCACAGGAGAACGTGCACGAGCTGCCCCCTCTGTCAAATTAAGGCCAAAAATTAGGAGTCTGTCTGACACACGACACAACACCGACATGTAGCCTGGCAGTTGCTTTGGATCATTGCTGTTCTATGAATGCAACCTAATCAACAGCTCGTCAACTGTGGTAGACGAGTAAACATAATAACTTGTCATACCTATGATCACAGAGACTCGAAATATAGCTTGCTATACACCGATACCCTACTGACTATCACACACCTAATGCATTTAGGCTAACCTAATCAACAGCTCGTCAACTGTGGCACACGAGTAAACATAATAACTTGTCATACCTATGATCACAGACTCGAAATATAGATTGCTATACACCGATACCCTACTATCACACACCTAATGCATTTAAGCTAAGAAAAAAAAAAGTCTGTCTTCACAAGTCCTTTACTATCAGTCAACAGTTTCAGTGAATCTAAACCGCATGTTCCTAAACCATATTTAAGTCTTAAAAGAAACTCAAAGATAATGTCAAGTAAGTTAAGCATTCTAGACTAACTAGAGAACTTAAGACTTGGTGGATAATTATAACCAATCCTGGTAGATAAAGTTCCCTTCATAATACAGTACACATTTCTATCAGATAAGTAATGGTAAATACATATTTTAACATAGATATTTTAGTATACACACACATACAGTATGTATATTATGTATATGTACACACACATATATATACAGTATATACAAGTGTGTATGTATGTAGTATATGTATGTATATGTATAATATAAATCACAGTAGTCGGTAAGTAACTACTCAATTTGTTTCGTCTATAATGCCTGGAAAAATTAAATAAAAACTCAAAACGTCAATTGACAAAAAATATCTAACTCGTCAAGATTCAAAATAATTTGGTATATACAGATATATGAATAATATTCTTGCAAATGATTGCCTGCATTTTCTTTGGCAAATCAGTTTTCTTTAACTCATTCTTGCAAGTTTTCTTCAAACTTCTAGCAACACATATACAGTAGTTGAATTCCTGGACGATGACCTAACTCCAGCAGTGTGGGGTTTGTTGAAAACCCTAATTCAACAGTCGCTCCCTACCGAAGATTTGTTGGGGTTCATCAACTGATTGGTTTGATTTCCGCCAGGAGGCTTTGCATTCCCTGTTGTTTCCAAGTTCCAAAATTGAGACATCAATGCCAGAATTTGTTGCAGAGTTGGAGCTTGAACATATCTGCATCACTTAGCATTGAAATAATTACATATAAACAAAACCCAACTACTCTTGCATGCTAATGAAGTTTAAACCAGTTCATCACACTCCAATCTTTCTACTTTATATCTACAATAAACAAAAGTAAACAAAATCACTTAAGAATTCTGCACTGCTACAGTATTTTAAATCCGGTAGTTACTTATGGCTCACCCTGCATCTGTACACACATACATATATATATATACATACACATACAGTATACATAGATGTTGCTTTTCTCACAACTTGTTACCTTCACTGTACTTCACTGCAGACAAATGTCTTCAAATCCTGTCTTCCTAAGATGCAGCACAACAACAAATCCACAAGGGCCGTGACGAGGATCCTCGTCACGGCTCTTGTGGATTTGTTCATTTGATGCATCACGTTAGTGTGATCTCTTGTGTGTGATGCAGCACAAGACTTTCAAAAATGCCCCTTCCCCCCCCCCTCCTGCAGTGTGCACCTAGGTCCCCTTTCACAGACAGCAATGGCTAAACATGTCGGGTTGTGTCGCCTTTGCTCAGAAAATATGCTGAACTGATTAAGACGAGGAACATAAGATGAACATGAGATTAAAACATTCTACAAGAGGATGAAGCAAATGCCACACCTATTCCAATATTCCAGCAAACTAACGTGTCTTTTGGCTTCTCGACTTTACGTTAAATTTACTAAAGACAAGCAATGTTTGCTTGCTATATCATGATTGAAGAATGAAGTAAGCTATCAACTGCATGTTGCAAAAGCTTAATTAAAGCAGCTTGAACCTTTTTACAGTTGCAAAATATATAGATAAAGAGGAGAACAACAATTACCCTGCCCTTGTCAAAAGACAAATATAGTAAGCTGGCCTACAGGTGCACCATAGTGAGAACCATTACCACTGCACTGGGGAAGCTACATTGCGTAAATAGCAGCCCCAGCTAACTGACGAACGGCCAGCCGCTGAATCTCCCCTGTCGTAGAGGCCTTTCTGCCCACCTTACTCCATGAAACGACAAAGAAAAAAAGAACAGGCATATCACATATTCACAAAAAAGATATCACTCTTATTGGTTTTGTTTGGCATTTGATGAGTGGGTTACCATGAAGGGTGACATATGGGAATGAATGACCATGAGTATGAACCAGCCACACAGCCCTGAGACAGGCACTGGTGGCTGGGTTGCAGCCTCTAAGCTTCCTGTATCTTCACAAGGTACACACACAGTGGGGTGGCCAGTGGCTGCTCAACCTGTGCCCTGCAAAGAGTAGAATATAAAAACCCTCCAACCCACTGATGCAGAACAGTCACCACATTCACTCCAACTGACTTATGTACATACGAAAACAAAATCTGATCCCAGGAGCGAAATGTTTCTAAGTTCTTAAAGGGTTACATATTCCTATAAGTCATTTGACAGGTATGGCAAAACCATATTCTGATTTTTTTAAGTCTAAGACTCATCTGTACTAATGAGTACAGTAATTCACATTCCCTAAATTCATTAACTAAATTTGTGTGCCAAATGTACAGATCCTATTCTCTTTGACACTCGGGCAGGCGCACCGCACTTCAGTGAAAGCAGAACCCATACGCCAATATCTGCAAAGATAACAAAACAAACAAAAGCAAATTACCATCACAAAGCAACAGGGCATCAATATAAGCTTGCCTGTGGCATAACTTGCTTTGTGAAGGAATAGTCCTCTAAATGGCTCAATATTTCCTTAGGCAAATTGTTAATCTTACTGCATTGACAGGGAAATATTGTTAACTCTCAAATGAAAGTAGCACTGCTTGGTCTAGGATAATGCTTCACAAAATGAAAGGTAATATAGTATGTTTGCCCTAAGTAGTGCGGAGGACTGGGACGCAGCAATGGATGATCGGCATCAGCCAAAAGGATCGAACGATCTTTGAGAGTCGGGCCAACCTGTAAAATGATAAGAAGAGAGAAGAAGACACAACATTAGTGTGGGCTCCCTTGTGACAGCTGCTACTGCACACTACCTACTCCACACACGTGTCACTCCCTGCCCGCCCACATCGTGGGATGCTCGACTTATATCCTGCCAGCCTCCCCCTCACTGTGTACACTCATATCCTGTTTTTACTCCAAATCACACCATCATGGTATATTCCCCCCCTGCTATTACATCGTATGATGAATTAACAGGAAGAGCAACATCTTTCCAAGCTTCTATAACTTCAAGCTTAAATGAAAGAAATATGGATGGAAATGTGCGCATTTTCCTATAAGTACTGTACAGGATACTCAATGTGTGGGTGCACACACACACACAAACAACACACATTCACTATCTAATGATACTAAATGTTCCTTCCAGCTGGAAGCTAATTGACTTTTCCTTATACTTTACGATAGTATCATGAAAGTAAATTACTCTCGTCCAAATTTCACATTTATCGTTTTACTGTCATAAATGTCTCCTTAATTAAGCTTCAATGATCCATATTACTTGTATCATTCCTTAGAAGTACAGCAACAACAGAGTATTTTAACAAATAATTAACGCTTTTACAACTACAATGTGACAAATTAACCCAATGACACTCAGTCAACCAACAAGACTTCCAAGTGCATGAAGAGTCAATTTATTACATTCTGTAGAATCATATGAATTATTCGGTCGCTGCCTAATAATTCTGCCTAATAACTTGTTTAATGATCTACATTCATTATTTCCTGAATCACTTAAGCTAACAAATTAACTGCAAGAGTTCACTTAATATTTTGTGCTAAGTACACTTCAGTTTGTAAATCAATTATTAAAGGTTTCCAACAGTCAAACACAGAAAAAAAACAAAAGATATAATACTGATGCTTAATTACAAAGGACAGTGACTTCACAGTTATCATTTTTGAACATCAAATTATTTTGTTAAAATCTGAAGCACGTACTGTATTGTACATGATGATATGAAGACAAGCATCACTAACAATGTTTCACAGAATTCCACCTTGATCCATTTTAGGAGATTAGTGACGGCTGTATATTGGCAAATTACGGAAGGGCATTAATTCGAACACTGGCGAGAGGAAACAAATCAAACCAATTACTATACAAAAGTAGCAAATCCCTCCTAATGACAGGATACTACATCATACGTCAGGCTGCGAGCAGCCGCGTCCAACAGCCTGGTTGACCAGTCCAGCAACCAGGAGGCCTGGTCGACGACCGGGCCTGGTCGACGACCAGGCCACGGGGACGCTAAGCCCCGGAAGCACCTCAAGGTAACCTCAAGGTCAAGGTATGATTCCACAAGAAACCAAGTACGCTTGTTTCAAGATTGTACCAGTTTACACAATGAAATCCCGTGATGAATCTGAGAAATATCAAGATCGCACGACGGGATTAAGCCTCCCACATCCCTAATGCAGGTGCCTGGGAAATCCAGGGATGCAGGTGTAATCCCATCATAAAGATCTCAATATTTTCTCAACACCAGTTTCTTTTAAAGACCAAATGTGTCCTTAACCCTAGCAATAACTTTTGTTATGTCTCACTTGCAGAAAAGTAGCCGACTACTTTCCCTGCTTTATCTATACTTAATTTTAAAGGATTAATGGTGTGTAATCATCTATAATTTCAAGGCCCAAGTGTTGGAAACTCTGTAAGGTGTATTTGTTCCACAACACCCAAACACTGTACCTTCATATGTTCAGATTTTTAAGAGTTTAAATTTTAGTCGAGAAGTTAAGTATTACAAAACAAGCCACAAGGTATGGTATCGCTGTTTCTTCATATTCATTTAATAGTACAGTATAGTACCTATCCATATATAAGACTTCTATGGCAATTATATTGAGATCAAGATGACTAGATCACAAAACTCCAAGTTACAGAAAACCTAGATATAAAACCACTCAAATACAGTAATTATGTACAAATGCATTTGGGGCAGCCCGCACCTCACCTACTAACCCAAGAGCCAAAGCTCAACCCCTGCAAGCACAACTAGGCGAGCACCCCAACTGTCGGGCGCTAGGCTGACCTTGGACCGTTCCATGTATATAAAACTCACAACAGACCCTCTCGGTGATTTGTAATGGTGCCCAAAAATGTCCAGTTATATATAGTGTAAATATAGCATAATAACAGCAAAAGCAGTTCGATTGATCTAAGAATGTAATGTATGTGTCATAAGATATAAGCATCTTATTTCTTGGCTTATTTCCACACATTTAAGTATATAAATTCCTCAAATTATACACTATTCAATATTAATATTACTGCAAAAAACTGGATATAAAACCATTGAAAAACACTGGAATAATTATGTAATAATATTGTCACGTGAATCCCCTGCATAGCAGTGGAACTGCCTATTCCCTTCACCTTCAATGCCTCTGCACTGGAAGTACATCCCCAGGAAGTATCCTGGGGATGTAGATGTATACATCTACACCAAAACTAGTAGATGTATAAATCTACACCAGCCCAAATGAGTCATCAGTCCTGCCACCTCTCCATATCCCCGAGGGCCTGGCACAGCCTGGTACGACTCAAGAGGCAAGCCGGGCGATACCACAACCCGTCACAATATATCTGCGGCAGCCCCCGCCTCACTTCCCGCTTGGAGTTCACTGCTGCATGTGTCTCTCAGTGAGTGAATATTTCCACAATTCCTCATCCCATTACAGCCGTGTCACGTGCAATATTTTTTTTTTAGTTTCCCATGACCAGAAAAGGCCTTTTAACAATATAAAAAAAATGCTGGGAGTATTTTTTTTGTCGGTGCACCCAGAGCTTTATCACAAGTCGAGCCTGGCCTCAGGCTGGGCTTGGGGAGTAGAAGAACTCCCAGAACCCTCTCCAGGTATTTCATATTGTATCCCTGTGTAGTACAGTGGTTAACACAATGTGCTAAAGTCAAACTTAAGTGAAGCAACAAACACAATCCACTCCATTGCAAACTGCATAACTTGTTGTCAATGGTGTACAATATCAGGAAACTTTATAGTTCTGAAGGTTATTATTTTGCACAAAGGCAAGGTGTCAATTTTTATGATAGCTGATCTTCGAGGTTACCTTGAGGTGCTTCCAGGGCATAGTGTCCCCGCGGCCCAGTCGTAGACCAGACCTCTTAAGGCCTGGTCACAAGTATTACAAGTATACTTGAGGGTTACAAGTATTCCACCGAGTAACAATACAATGCCAAATTGACGTAGTTCACCAATTTAATAACAAAGCAGGACCTCTTCACCAATTCACACTCCCCAGGGCCTGGATTCATCAAGCAGTTATGCAAGCACTGTACTTACGAACCTGAACATCTTTTTTCAATCTTTGGTGACTTTATTACCATTTATTGATCAATCTTTATTGGAAAGATTTATTGAAAAGCTCATGAGCATCGAAACTTCCAAAACAAATGTTGTTATTGTTATTATAAACAGCCTCCTGTTTATAATATGGCGATAATCCTAGTGCATCAGAGCACAAAATCTGTCTAATTAATGTAAATAAAGCCCGCTAAGACTGAGAAAACATGTACAGATTAATATCGATGCATAAATACTGGTCGAATTCTGGCAAAGGATCCCCTTGACTGACTAACACCCCCCCACCCGAGGACCCCTTCACTGATTCATACTTCCCATACCTGTGGTATGGGAGGTATTCGTATACTGATTCATACCTGTGGAGGGCTGGTCGAGGACCGGGACGCAGGGACACTAAAGCCCCGAAATCATCTCAAGATAACCTCCCAATGACCACCCCCCCCCCTCCACCAATTCATACCCACAAGGACGTGAATTTTTCTTCAAGAATCCAATTCGTTCTGACAACTAACATGGCTGCACAATAATTTGAGAAGGGCAACACTGCCAGCAGTCATAATTTTCTGCCTAGTTCTAGAAGCATTAATATTAAGCAAATTGTGGAAAAACAAATTCAAGACATTTTCAATGTTCTGGTGTACTTGAACAAATCCACAAGGGCCGTGACGAGGATTCGAACCTGCGTCCGGGAGCATCCCAGACACTGCCTTAATCGACTGAGCTACGACAGGGTTAAAAGGGTTGAAACCGAAGTTCTACTGAACTTACTGGATCCCGTAGCCTCTCCGAGGCACAAACCAGGCTTTTACACAACCTCCCCCCCCTGCACCCGAGCTATGTCAACAGGCCGTTCTCCCTCTTCGCCCTTACATCATCACACGTGTGATGATGTATGTGGATTTGTTCATTTGATGCATCACGTTATTGTGATCTGTGTGTTCTGGTGTACTTGTGCTTCAAAATGCAGTGTATGGTTTTGTAAGGAAAATTATCTTGACAATTAAAGAAAAACAAAGTTCTACAATTTAAGGGCATAATATTTAGTGTCTTAAACTAAACGTCTCAAGACTATATGAAGAGATATTTTGTGGATTTAATTAAAATACTGATACTGCAAGCAAAGTGCACACATCAGTGAGCAGTTGACCTCAATATTTAGGTTATTTAGTAGCAACTTTGTGTTGTTTGAAACATACATTATTCTGCTCAAAGACATAAAATTAATTTTAGTACATCAGCACATTTCATTTCATCGTCATTTTAAACACCAATTAAAACAATTATATCCATGTGGAAAGCAGCTGAACATTTTACTACCAGATCTGCCGTGTGAATATGAAGTTTACCGAGCAAATGAAAACGTTTTACCAAAACCTTTTTACTTATATTTTATCTGAGCCCAAATACTGTGCTTACAATTAATTACACAATTACCAAAATCTCTCTCTTACTGCTAGAGAGAGGAAAAAAAGCTTCTAATCCCAGACTGGTTCTATCCACTCCGAACACGTACAGCCACGTAGTGCAAAGTGATACCACAAGGCTTTTGCTCTTACTTTGAGACTCGCAAATGAAATCGATCATGGAAGTGAAAATACTACCCCCCCCCCCATGAAGCCGCTGGTAAAACCCACCCCATTTCAAACTAACAATAATACTGCAGCTAGAAGACTAAGTTACAAAATGAAAATAATTTCATCTTATTTAAAGGAGAGGGTTCAGTTCCTGAACCGATTACGTGCCTCTGTAATCCTTTACACCATCGCCCACGGGATGGGTATGAGGTGCATAATAAAGAAATTGAATTATTTAAAGGATACCTGTGTACTGCTAATCACAAAAATCCAAGATCCATAAACAAAATATTGTGCATTACAAGCTTCAGTGTTGACTTTGTATGAAGACTTCTTCACAAGTTGAATAACAGACGTCAACTCACAAGAGGTCAAAGTAACATATTCCAATGAGAAGGATAAACTCGTCACAACACACTGATCATCAAAGCTAATACATTCAAGTATACAATAACAATGCCAACCCAAATTATAGTAGTATATTTTTACAATCGAATTATTGTTTGTCTTTACCGATAAATTATAGTCCTTCAATGAGAGAAATGTTCTGTTGAAAGCACAAACACTTATCTCGGAACAAGCAAGTATAGCCTTATCCATTTACCTCTCTACAAATAAATTTTGCTCTCAAATATCTTCATTTAACAAAATAATACTTTACATAATATCTTCACAAAAAGACAAAGAAATCACATTTGCTTAAAATTTCTAAGACTTATGCATGAACATTTTCTGCTAGAATACAAACATTACTAATTGATATAAATGACTTGACAGTAACCTACACCTACAAATAATCCACATGTCAGGGAACCACTAAGAATATAACATACACAACTAAAATGTCATCCAATGCAGATTAAATTTGACCTTACCAGGCCATTTGATTGTAGTCTTATGAAGGAAATTCTCCTTTCCAGAGAATTTCCTTTAAGACAATAATACTTTCCTTAAAGACAATAATTCAATATTGAACATTGAAACTAAAATTAAGTACAAATAACACACATCAGGTACAACAAAAATACTGTAAAACAAATCAGCCGAACCCTAAACTACCTCAATGAAGAAAATTATTACAAATTAATTTACTTCTCAATACCAAATTTTCAATTTCAAAGTTATTAAATCAATTACAATGAAGACAAGGCGTCACAATAACGTGGCTGAGACATGTTGACCAGACCACACACTAGAAAGTGAAGGAACAACGACATTTCGGTCCGTCCTGGACCATTCTCAAGCCGATTGTGAATGGTCCAGGACGGACCGAAACGTCGTCGTCCCTTCATTTTCTAGTGCGTGGTTTGGTCAGCATCGATTATATTATTCCCTTTTCCAGGGAGTGAGGTGCTAGGTGCAAGACTGAGTTGGCTAACCAACAACAATGAAACATTTTACAGCAGGTACACATCGTGAGCTCAATCAGAGGCCCAGGGTTCAATACCTGGGTGGGACAGAAACAGTTGGGGTACATTTCTCTTCATCTGATGCCTCTGTTCACCTAGCAGTCAAACAGGTACCCAGAAGTTAGGCAATTGTTGTGGGTTGTATTCGGGTGAATGTCAGTAGTTACCCTAGGAGAGCCCCCCCCCCTCACTAAACCTAAAGTGAACCTCATTAAACATTGTCCCAGCTAACTTCATTTCATTTTTACGTTGTTAAAAAATTAATAAATTTAACATTCAGGATTGACAAAAAAAAAAAACAATTGTGTAAGTTCCCCAGTGTCAGAGCTATCTTGAGGTTATCTTGAGATGATTGCGGGGCTTTAGTGTTCATGCGGCCCGGTCCTCGACCAGGCCTCCACCCCCAGGAAGCAGCCCGTGACAGCTGACTAACGCCCAGGTACCTATTTTACTGCTAGGTAACAGGGGCATAGAGTGAAAGAAACTCTGCCCATTGTTTCTCACCGGCGCCCGGGATCAAATCACAGGATCACAAGTCCAGCGTGCTGTCCGCTCGACCCGACCGGCTCCCTTTTCTCCCGAGATGGAGAAAGACGCGGAAGCCTACTTATAAAAACAAATTACAGTATATGAGGGCTAACTTAAATACAGTACTGTATTGTCAACAAACACTATTTATACTGTACCAAAACCAAAACTTCTTATTTACTGAAAACAATAGCACAAAATACAGCACTGTACATAATAAATAATACTCTACTGTATAACCATATGACTAGGTAAACAAATTATGAAGTGAATTTTGCTGCTGCCAAAACAAATGCATCTTGCCAGCTGATCACAACATAAACAAACAAGGTGCGAGTCTTCCAAGCCCAAAATTATTAGCAAAAAATAATGTCCTTGGTCTAGGCATGATGGTAACTGGCCTATAATAGGTAGTAATCCCAATGAAAGGCTAAAGAAACAAAGGGAGACAATGCAGGCGATGAGTCACAATAACGTGGCTAAAGTATCTTGACCAGACTACTGACCAGACTTCACCAGACTAGTGAACCCAACACCCGAGAAATGTAACCCTTATCACTAGGCCTATGAAATTTCACTTAACGTCATTTCAGTTAAAAGTTGCAGTTTTCAGTAGCCTAACCCTGACTGACGGCTGAGTGGACAGCGCTCGGGATTCGTGGTCCTAAAGTTCCAGGTTCAATCGCTGGCGGAGGCAGAAAGAAATGGGCAGTTTTTTTCACCCTGATGCATCTATGTTCACCTAGCAGTAAATAGGTACCTGGGAGTTAGACAGCTGTTACGGGCTGCTTCCTGGGGATGTGTAACAAAACGGAGGCCTGGTCGAGGACCGGGCCGTGGGATTACTAAGCCCAGAAATCATCTCAAGGTAACTGACATTAAGTGAAGTTCACTTGTACATGAACAAACAAATTACAATTTTTGTTCACTTGTACAGGCTTCATGACCTTGGCAACAGGAATTACAAATAGCAATATGATCACTCTTGTGCTGCATTTTCGATCTTCGATAAGGATACGACTGAAAATATTATTATGCAGCCTAAGAGCTAAATTTCTATTAAAAAACAATGCTTTGTTTAAATTTAGGCCCACTATTATTAATCATTATAGCACTCAATGGTAAACAAACCATGAACAAAACAATATTTACAAAGATAATCACCAAGATTGTAAATTAGCACCAATATAATTATGTACACAGTACATAAGTGTTGCAATATTATTGTTATTTGAAATAAAATTACAAATTTGATTTTATTGTATAGTACACAATTAACACATACGTATCTAACATGAATAATGGAGTGTTTTCACTTTACAGATTTCTTCATGAAGGTTAAGCTGAATTTAACGACTGTTTTCAGTTTCTAAATCAATCTACTGTATTATATTATTAATACTGTACATTAAATATACTCATGATCAAAATTCATTAATGTTTCCAAACTAAAATACACAAATTTTCAGAAAAATAAGTACCTGGCTCCAACTATTTCTTTGTAAAGAATCAGAATCCATAATCATATTGAAATTATGACTTCTCAGTGGAATCGGCACCAGTATCAGAATCTCTTAAAATTTTAGTATCATGCCATTACAAGAAGAGACCAAAGACAATTTCAAAGTCAAACATTTAATATAAAAACTTAAACATTTTCTTATACCATGTTTGTTTATAATAACTAGTATGAGTAGGCTACAAATCGGTTCACTTTGTGATCAAAGCCTGATTTCAGGTCCAGAGATATGCCAATACTGGTTATCTATTCAGGTAACAACAAAATACTTCCTGTAATTATAATATTAAATGGGACTGTAACAAATCCAATTAAGAGCTTCTCAAAATCAACAAGATTATGAGCTAGGGACATGTTGTGTGATTAGGTTGATGTGAGCAAAATTTTCAGGAGCATGTTAAGCTTATGTAATGACTACTGATGTTTAGAAGGTTGAATCTATGACTCAAGTGTGTCATCATATCACCTTTTCCTATCAACTCATTTTAGTATATTTAATGACTCTTGCCTGTCCTCAATACTTTTGGATGTTTGTTACACAAGCAATATATTAAGTAGATTGGCCAGACCACACACTAGAAGGTGAAGGGACGACCACGTTTTGACTTGAGAATGGTCCAGGACGGACCGAAACGTCGTCGTCTCTTCACCTTCTAGTGTGTGGTCTGGTCAACTTACTTTAGCCACGTTATTGTGACTCCTCGTCTGCAA